CGGTAATATCTGTTGGACTTGTCCTCGCTGCCTTCTATCCACGTTACCTTTTTGCCGACGTCAGTGACACTGAGCTTGTAAATCACTTCTCCACACTAAACTCCACACAGACCACCGAAACTATGGCCCGCTTCTTCATTCTTCTTCTAGCGCCAGCCTTCCAAAGCCCACCTCTGGATCAGGAAGGCTTCGTTGCTTACTCACAAATGCTCGATCGCTGCAAAACAAATTGCTGGATTTTCAAGCTGCAGTTTATAGTGCTGACTTGGTTATCGTCGCTGTTACTGAAACATGGCTAAACTCATGTATTCTTGACCATGAAATCTTTCCCTCAGGTTGCCAGCTGCACAGGAAAGATCGTCAGGATCGTCATGGTGGAGGAATTCTGTTTGCATCACGGAATGATTTTGTGGAGGTCAGAAGATACGATCTGGAAACTGATTGTGAGCTAATGTGGAATGAACTACAAACTGCCTCCGGTCTTAAGCTCCTGTTTGGTGTCTTCTACCGTCCCCAAAATACTGGTATGGAATACATGCTTCTCCTTCAAGAATCTTGCTCCCGTATTAACTGGACTTTCAATAAGATTTTCCTCGTTGGAGATTTTAATCTACCGAACTTTGACTGGATAAATCAGACCCCTCTCCACTGATCAACTTTACCTGAAGACCTACGAAATCATAAACGACCTATTCCTCACACAAGTAATTACTTCTGCCACTCGTGGTAAAAATATTCTGGACTTGGTTTTGACTTCTACGCCTGACTTAGTTACTGATCTGTCCTTGAGTGCGGGTTTCTTACATTCCGACCATCTCAGTATATCCTTCAGTATCTCTATCAAACCTGCATGCTTCAGAGCCACGCCAAAAGAAATTTTAAACTTTAAAAAAGCAGACATGGATGAAGTCAGGAAAACCCTATCCTACAACTCCTTGGCATGTTGCTATGTTAGATGATGACATAAACATGAACGTAATTAAGTGGGAAGACCTTTTCTGGGCAGCAGTGAATGAATTTGTTCCTCGCAAAAGGGTCAGGGACAAGCAGACACCCCCCTGGATAGACTCTGAAGTAAAGGCACTGTGTAGAAAAAAGGACAAGGCCAGTCGAAGAGCATTGAAATAAAAAAACCAAGACCATATCGACAATTTTAAATCTCTTAGAAGAAACGTAAAGAAACTGATCCACAAAAAGTACACTGACTACCTCAATAACCTTGCTGATTCTGTTGAAAAGGAACCCAAGAAGTTCTGGAGCTTTTATAGCACTAAAACAAAATCTAGAAAACTTCCACTGGC